TTTTCTTTAGTTTCAGAGATCTTTTGATAGTTTGTTTCAAGGATGTTTGGCTTGAGTGTAGTAGTCTAGAATCTAAACCAGAATTCTGTGAATGGGTAAAATAATACTTTTGAAACACAGGATCAACAGCAATCAGCTTAACTTTTCAGCCTAGAATAGAGGTCTTGGGCTTTTGTTTCACTACTCCAAGTGAGGCTTATCTGGAGCATCCCTGACTAGATCCATTGTTTCCTTAATTGGTGTAATTCCAGTATGTAGAAAATTCCGGTGCTAAGAACATCATTCTCATTCATTGAGGGACACCAGGGTTTCTTATGCCAGCTACCTGTTGGCATTACTAGACTGAAGCACACTTTCTGGGATAAACCAAAAGAACAGTAGCCATGTAAACAGGTGAAGGCAACTTGAAAGAAGAAACAAAACTGTGGAGTTCACACTACACAGATAATCAATGAAATGACACTAGGGAACAGGGGAGAGATTTCATTCATGGAGACAATGGAATATTGCTTTGTTTCCTACGAAAGGAATAGGCCAGGTATCTCATGACATACTGAGAGAAGATCTGTGGAAACCAGGCTCCCACTTTTGTGGAATTAGGTGATAGATATTAAGCACAAAGTAATGTACAATTTCAGGTACGTGTAGGTTCATGAATACAATAACACATAGTATTGAACTGAGGTAGCTTGGAAAGGATGTAGAAAGCATAGTTTTAGCACAATGGAAGGTCACTCTAGAGACAGAACTTTTTAGTGGGAACCAGGAAGCAGAATGTAATCCATGATCAAATGTGACAGAACAGAGAAAACAAATTCAAGATGGAAATTAGCTTAGTTCTTCCTAGGACCAGAACAAGAGGCAATGGGTGCAAACACAGAAAGGAGAGTGCCAGTCAAGTGCCCTGAAAATAGGGTGTGGGGAGGACCCTCAATATGGAAGATACTCTGGGATACTCTAGGAATATTTGACTTTCTTTTTCTGTCTTTCCCCCCCGCCCCCAGAGTCACTGTGTAGCCCAGGCTAGCCTAGAGCTCACTGTGTAGCACACACTCACCTTAAACTCATTATGTTCTTGTTTCTGTCTGGGAGGTGTTAGGACTGCAGGCTTCCCTCACCACACCCAGAGAGTTCTCAAGTGCCAATGTGGCCTAATCATAAGAATAACTAGACTGATTTATTACTGACACCCTAACTCCATGGGGAAGTGAGAGGATGCTAGGTAATGGAAGTGTGTTTACCCAGTTAGGTTCGGCAGTGGTACTGGAGTTAAATGGTAACCTGAATCAAGGAGTAGTAATGATGAGGACAAATGGTCAAATTCATGTTGTTGCCTGGCAACATTCAGACTGGCAAGATTCAGTTGGATGACCAGGCAGTAATAAGTCCAGGACGAAGACTAGGATTTTAGGAGACAGCTGTTGAATGGCAGTGTCACCAAGGTGACACAAGCCTGATGGGCATGGCCAGAATCCTGGGTTAGTCAGAGAAGGAGGATTTCTGCACGTGCCAGCTTGAGACAGTCAGAATACCAAGAGAAGAGATGTGTGAGTGTGGAAAGTGGCACACTTTGTCACTGGAAGTTCGTTCTTGCAAGGCACACAAGGAGAGCTTCCTTCAAAATAAGATTATATTTAAAGTGAGATCACACTTATTAAAAAAAAACAGGGATGTTGGCACACATCTGTGCTTATTTATTTTTATGTGTATGAGTGTTTTGTCTTCACACAGGCAAATGCACCATGTGTTTGCACTGTTCCACAGAGGCCAGAAGAGGGCATCTGATCCTCTAGAACTGGGGTTACAGACAGTAACCCAGTTGGGTAAAAGACTCAGTGGATGGTAGGAACTGAACCCGGGCTCTTTGTGAGAGCAGCAAGTGCTCATTTCTGAGTCATCTATCCAGTACTGAAATCACTGTCTTCTAACAGCATACAAGAGACTATCATTCAAACCTGCACCTGTGATGTAACATTCCACGAGGGATGAAGACGAATAGTAAGAACTAGCAGTGAAGAAGAGCAGAGGAATGGATGGCACCAGAGGTGTGGCTCTTAGTTTGTCAGAGTCCTTCAAAAAACAGCTGCCCCACTCCCCAGAGTACTCTGCACCCCTGAACACTATACACCCCAACACTCTACACCACTGAACACTCCGCACACACCCGTAACTCCTCACACCCATACCACTAAGCACCCTCCAGAGGCCTCTCCAGGCCCTGCTGTAACTACATTCACACCCCACATTTTTGTCTCACCCAGAGCCCAATGAACTAGGAAAGGTTGAGTCAAGCTGAGGCAAATGCAGCTTCTGCCTTAAAGCCTGCACTGGAGATCAAGTGGTATTTGTGTCTATGTAGAGGAAGGCTTAGGCAGCTTTTTATGGTAGCATGTTAACACAGAAAGAAGATGTTGACTATATCACTTTCTGAGCATGAAAAATGGGAACACTGTAAAAGAGGAAGCATGTGAGAACCAAGTTCAGTGTGCAAGGGGTCCTGAGAGCTCCAGCTGCTTGCCTGAGTTTCTTCACACCCCTAAGTAAACTTCCAGGAAGCCCAGCACCCTGCCCTGTATATTCTGTTACTTTTGCTAAGATGAAGAGTTAGGTCATATGGAACAATTTCTTTAAGGATTATTCTGTATTGGAAAATAAGTAAGGTGTTCTGTCACTAGAAAAGCATGAGAAAAGGACTTCCATTGGAGACACGGGTATCTCTCCTGTTTCCATCCCATGTAACACAGAACATGTGACACTGCACCAGAAAGAGTTATATGTGTGGTACCAACAGCAGGTGGCAGAGGTAGAAACAGGAAAGCATACATAGCTGGCTGGTAATCTACAAATACCCTGCTTGGGAGGCTGACAGAAGCTCTCTCTCCTACAACAGCTATGCACATCCCCCAACCTCCAGCATACCTTGATTTTAAGCTTTGGGTTGATGTAACATGCAGAGCATACAAAATGTACTGAATGTCCATAAGCTGGGCATATGATCAGCTTTTATTTGTCCAGATTTACAACGTTTAGTAAAGAATCAATTTAATGCTCTGCTCCGCTGCTCTTTTGAATGCTGCTCTGATTTGTACAGTTTCTCAGCCTTCTTCACTACCATGTCAGGGTGAAATGTTACGGCTGATTTAGAAAAGGAAATTAAGGCTTAAGGGAATTAAGTATATGCCCAAGCTCATGTACAAAGAAGCCAAACTCAGCTCTGACTCCCAAAGTGCATTTAACTGATGGCTGATCTGAGCAAAGTGATATATCTCAGCAAAAATCTGAAAGATTAAAAATAAGTCTTTAATATACACTTATCATTGCTGTTATTGAACTCTGACCTCCTCAAACACAATTAGTAATTACAAAAGACAATTCTAGTCATACACTTAAGAACAAGTATTGGAGGCAAATAGAAGCATGTTTTAAAAACTTTGTAATAAATGCTTCTAATCACTGAGCCATATCAGCATCTTTGATCTTATTTTTTGAAAGACAGAGTCTCTCAGTGAACCTGAAACTCACTGTTGCTTCTAGAGTGGCTGGCCCACTAGTTACCAGGACCAGCATATTTCTCCCCAGTGTTGGGCTGGAGGCACCGCCTTGGTTTTAACATTCTTCCTGGGTACTTGAACTCTTCTCTGGGTTACATGGGAAAAATTCTTACCCACAGAGCCACTTCCCAGCCCACACTTGTGTTTCCTGTGTGTGAAATGAGTGGAACATGTGTTCGTTTCTTTGGGTGATTTCTTAAGATAACAAACTGAAGAACAGTATATTTGACTGTGGGAAGATTGTATAGATTTTTTTTGGTTTTGGTTTTGGTTTTGGTTTTGTTTAAGACACAGTTTCTCTCTGTATCCCTGGATGTCCTGGAACTCTCTCTGTAGACCAAGATAGCCTTAAACTCAAGAGATCTGCCTGTATCTGCCTCCCAAGTGCTGGAATCAAAGGCATGTGATTTTTTTTAACTAATTCTGGTAAACATCCTCCTTTGGGACCTGTTCTGTATGATCAGAAAATAATTTGTTTTAGCTTTATACTCAGCAATGAATCATTAAGATGATTCCAGCCAGTGACTAGGGCTGGAGAGATGGTCCAGCAGCTAAGAGGGCTTACTGCTCTTCCAGAGGATCTGAGGTCAGCCCCCAGCACTCAGGTAGGGTAGCTCACAACCATCTATATCTTTGGCTCCAGGGACTCTGACACCCTCTTCTGGGCTCATGACACACACAGACACATATTTCTGTACATACATACATACATTCATAATACATATATACATACATGTGTACACATATATATGTACATATATATATGTACATATATATATATATGTATACACACACACACATATGTATGGGGAAAATAGAAACCAGAGACTATATTGGAAAATTTTAGCCAGCATAATTGAAATTTTTTTCAACTAGGCAACAATTACCTGACCTTCAAACCAAACTGTGAAATCTACATATTCGTAAATGTGTATTTGCTTCTGTAATTAATTTATAAAGTTGTACACCAATATAAAATTTCATCTTATATTTTTCCTCAAAAGCAAAACTATCAGGTTCATTCTTCTATAAGTCCATTGTTTTATTTTAAAAGGAAAAGCAACAATCTCTATGTTCTAGGGCCCATATTTATCTTATTAGACCTTCTTCCATTTCCAATCAAATTGCATAAAACAATAAAACCAATAGAGAAATACACTGAAAAAAATGAAGTAAGGAAATGCTAGAGAACAAATAAGAACAGTAGATCCTAATATGAACTCATGAAAGAATGTGAACAGCTCAGCAGACCCACAGAGTGGCACATCCTCCAGATGTGAGTGGCTAGTCTGTTACGTGCATTAACTAAGCATAGTTTCTTGCGACACCTCATTCACACACCTGTGCTTGGCTTACATTGACATCACACAGCTGCCGGCTTGAACAATGCCTGTAACCGACAGACATGACCAATAGATAAACCCTCATCGGCATCCTGTCCTTACTCACAGCAACGGCCTCCAGAATCTGCTTCACCGCATCCGCCGCGTCGCGCTCACTGTAGTACCCCTTCTCCACAATCCTAAAAAAACATAAACACAGTGCTTCTCAGACACATACTTTTAGTTGAATGGATACTAAAGGAAGTTAATTAGATCAACGTCAGAGAAGATACTTCTGAATAATTGCAACAGCTTTTCCAACACCAGGGAAGGATTCCAGAAACAGCCATTCGAGAATCTCAGCTTTGCTAAGAAAATGAAAAACATTCATTTTCCCTGGGCTTAACCTAGTCATTCGCCTTTCACATTTTAACTTTAAATTGTAAATTATATTAAGCATATACCAAAGTAGATTTTATATTATATATACCCCAATTACTAATTTATGGGTAACCTTTATCTTAATCTGAAGACTTACTGTCTTTTATGTTTTATTATTTTAAAACAAATAGGATATACTCAAATGATAATAAATCTTTTTAAAAAATCATAGCATAATCACAGTATCATACTTGTAAAGTACATCAAATCTTTAATATTATCAAATATACCCCATTACAATTTTCCAAGTTCATTAACATGTTAAATTTCTATTTATTAGAATTCATTTTAAATGAAATGTATGAAATTTGGGTAGTTATTTTGCAGAAAGTAGCTTCATTTTCTTTTTGTTTCTTTTACACGTCACAGCAAAAACTATACATTCTCAAAGTAGCTGATGTTAATAACTGAATTTAAAGCCTATAAAATGTTTCAAAATTGGGAGATAGAGGAGGAGGAAATGTACAATAGAATTGTTGTGATAAAAGTAAAAGAACATAAGAAAAGTTCTTAAAGATTATAGTTATTCAGCTATTAAAAAGATACATTTCAATTTTAATTATTTTATTTTCAACCTATTAAAAATGATAAAACACAAACTCATAATCTTTTAAAAGGATGAGGAGAGAATCTCCTAATATGCATCATTGCTTTATTATTTTAGACACTTAAAATGTACTTTATTTTTCCTAATTACATACGTTGCTCATAAGCACCCCTCAAATCCTAGATTGTACCTGTGAGGTGTTTACTATTTGCTTCTTAAAAATCATTCTTATGAATACTACCTTACAACATGATACATGCTCTCCAATTCATGACAAAGTTAGGTGATTTGGTCGACTTACAAAAACTTCTATTGAAATAATTTATTTTAAATATATATTTATTTATTTAGTGTGTTGGAGTATGTGGGGGGCAGTGACATGACACCCCTGTGGAAGTCAGAGGACAACTTACAGGGACTGAACTCAGCTGGTCAGACTTGACAGCAAGACCCTATATCTCCTGAGGTATCTCGATGGTCCTGAAATAATTTCTTCGACTATTGTTTGTTTTTTTGAACATTTAAAATTTAAGGATGAGGCTAAAGAGATGGCTCAGAGGTTAAGAACACTGACTGCTCTAACAGACATCCTGAGCTCAATTCCCAACAACTACATGGTGACTCATAACATCTATAATAAGATCTGGTGCCATCTTCTTGCATGCAGGCATACATGCAGCCAGAACACCACAAATAAGAACACCATTATAAATAAGTAAGTCATAGACCTCAACATAAAACTGCATATACTAAATCCAATAGAAGAGAAATTGAGGAATAACCTTGAACACATTTGGTACAGGAGACAACTTCCTGAACATAACTCCCATAGCTCAGACACTAAGATCAACAATTAATAAATGGGACCTCATGAAACTATAAAGTTTCTGTAAGGCAAAGAACACTGTCAATAGGAAAAAATACCTACAGAAGGGAAAGTATCTTCACCAACTCTACACACATCTAACAGAGGGCTAATACCCAAAATATATTTTAAAAATTCCAGAAATTAGATACCAAACAACTCAAATAACCCAATTTTTGAAAAGGGGGTACAGGGCTAAACAGAGGATTCTCAACAGAGGAATTTCGAATGGCTGAGAAGCACTTAAAGAAATATTCAACATCCTCGGTCATCAGGGAAATGGAAATCAAAATGACTTTGAGATTCTATCTTGCATCCATCAGAATGGCTAAGATCAAAAACTCAAGAGACAGACATGCTAGCAAGGATGTGGAGCAAGGGAACAGTCCTTCATTGCTGGTGGGAAGGCAGACTTGGACAAACACTCTGGAAATCAATTTAGCTGTTTCTCAGAAAATTGGGACTAGTTCTACCTCAAGACCCAGATATACCACTCTTCGGCATATATCCAAAAGATGCTGTATATGGATGAAACTAGAAAATATCCTGAGTGAGGTAACCCAGATCCAAAAGGACATGCATGGTATGTACTCACTTATAAGTGGATACTAGCCATAAAGAACAAGATAACCATCCTACATCCATAGACCCAAAGAAGTCAAATAACAAGAAGGGCTCAAGGAAGGATGTTTGAATCTTACTCAGAAGGGGAAATAAAATAGACATCAGAGGTAGATGGAGGGAGGGAACTGGGTGAGAGAAGGGACAGTCGGGGGAGGGGGATCAAGTATAGGGAGAGCCAGGGAAAAAGAACAGAAATCAGAGATGGGGATGAGATGGGGTTGGGGGAGGGGATCTCTAGGATGTGCCAAAGACCTGGGACGCTGGGAAGAGTCTATGGAGTGACTCTAGCTGAGACTTCTATCAGTGGAAGATATGGAGCCTGAAGTGGCCACTTCCTGCAGCCAGGCAGGACTACCAGTGGAATAATGACAGCAACCCACTCATAAAACCTTCAAGCCAAAATGTGTCCTGCCTACAAAATGTACAGGGACAAAGATGGTGCAAAGAAGGAGGGAATGGCCAACCAATGACTGGCCCAATTTGAGGCCCATCCAATGGGCAAGAACCAACCCCTGACACTCTTAAAGATACTCTGTTATGCTAGTAGACAGGAACCTAGTGAAACTGTCCTCTGAGAAGTGCCACCCAGCAGCCAATGGAAAGAGATGCAAAGAGCCACAGCCAAACATTAGATAGAGCTGGGAAAGTCTTGTGGAAGAGTTGAGGGAAGGACTGAGAGACTCAGAAAGAACAGGGACTGCACAGGAAGACAAACAGAGTCAGCTAACCTGGGCCCTTGGGGCTCTAGGGTCTGAACCACCAACCAAAGAACATACATGAGCTGGACCTAGGCTCCCCACATACGTAGCAGATGTGCAGCTTGGTCTTCATGTGGGTCCCTCAACAACTGGAGTGAAGGGGCTGTCCTTGACTATGTTGGCTGCCTGTGGATCCAGTTACCCTGATGAAGCTACCTTATCTGGCCTCAGTAGGAGAGAACATGCCTAGTCCTTCAGTGACTTGATGTACCCGAGTGAAGTGATACAGAGTGTGAGGGGAAGATGTTTAAAGGGGGATGGGAAGGAGGGGAGCTACGATCAGGATATAAAGGGAATGAATGAATGAATGAATGAATGAATGAATACAATTTACAGAAGTCTGAGAGAAGAGAAGGGTTTTCCGTGACAGAGAAGGCTCAGAACTTTCACTACCACATTACCACCTCTCTCCGCTTTGTGCTTTCTGTAGAGTTTGTGATCTAACCATCACAAAGGTGACAAGTGGCTTCCTTATACACTCTACCTGCAATCTCAGGTTTTCTATAGTTATGTTAGAAGAAGAGAATTGTTATAAACATGATGAAGAATGACAACTGACAATTAGCTTTCTTTGAAACCTTTCAATCTTACCCCAAGATGGCAAAATAATCTACTTCATGACCTCCATTTATTTTTTTGATTTTCCTCATGCCCATTTACTCAGAGAACTTTATCATAACCATTTTATGGCACTCCTCCAGGGTTAAGAGAACAACTATGCACTGTTATTTCCAATTGTGTATCAAATACTTAGTCCTTACAGGTCTCAGTACACTTGGAAACACAATAATCTACCAGTTAGAATTTCCTTATTGTACTTTGGTGTAAGTCTCAAGCTGTGACCTAATGAAGTTTTTATGTATGTTTGAGTATAATATAGGGGTAAGTGCCTGGTATGAATTGAATCTTTATATGCTCTAAAACTTTATATGTTAACCCCTAATTGTTTACAGATCTGTTTAAGAAATCAGCTGTTGGGAGGTGGAGTCTTTGGTGGATAATTGGATCACAAGGGTGAGGCCTTAATAAATAAGATTAGTGTTCTTACAGAGAAAATGTTACCCTTTGCACCACATAGAAACAGCATGCAAGCATCTTCAAGAATCCAGAAATCAGCCCTTAACCAGAAGCTGATCTACTGACATCTTAATATTGTACTTCCTAGACTCAGAATTTTAAGAAATGTATTCCTATTGAATATAAGCCACCTAGTCTAAGGAACTTTGTTTTAGCAATATTTATGAACTAGTGTAGTATCTGGGATTCAGAACAAATACTTGTCAGGAAGTTCAGGAACTGCTTGGATGGAGAAATGACATATTAGTAAAATAACTCATCTAACATTCTGACAGATGCATTTATTCATTTAATAAATATTAGGGAGTGACTATGATGTGTGGGGTTCTCAGGAGTGAATGAGACATGCTTTTGCATGGATGAGCTCTTTCCTTATATAAGTAGACAGAGCAATCAATAGTCTAAGTAACTGCTGTGATGCAGGCACTGGGGGCTAGCTAGGGAAGTCTGAGAAAGGTAGGAATCTAGGTTAGAAATCTTGTGAGAATAGAGATGTCTCAGATCAGACTTGAAAAGTGAACCTAAGTTTCCTAGATGTCAAAAAGGGAGGGAATAGGGCTGAGAGTGGATAAGGAGTGTGGGATAAATAGAAATAGGAAGTTTGTTTGCCCAGTAATAGCTCTGATGAGTAACTGAAGCTTTTATACGTTGGATAGTAACGTAAGATAAATATGACAGAAGATCCACATTTCGATGTTATTGCTGGTCCTGTAAGCATGTACACAGGCATGAGCAAACCTTTTCCCTTCCACAGCCATCACTCTTCTACACACTACTCTTGACTCTCCTGTGCATATTTCCACATGACTATGTCATCTGCTAGAGGACCTCATCACTTCTGAGTAGATTTTGATGTCATGCTCATGGATTTACAAATTTCTATTGAAG